ATTATTTGTGCTATTATTTGTTCTAACAGCAAGCTTAGCACTCTCAACACGTCACATGAAGTTGCCTGTGGCGTCCTGATGGCTTTGAGGATCCTGAGACACTTAGTTTGCCCTGAAAAAGATGATCAAAACAAGTCGCAAGGTTAGAAATAACAGTTAGTTGTTAAATTGTTGATCAAGGAACAGTTAGGAAAAGTTTCTTCTCAGCAGAGGGCGAGTTAAAAGTGTTCTGTTCGCGATTAAGCTCTCTATAGTATTTCTGATTAATGGTAATCTTTCTGTCAACAGGTCATCAAAAAGATSTCAATGTCAATCTTAGTTGCATTCAACTATTCTCCGCAAATGCCATGGACATCTTCATCAACACATTGCAAAAACTTGGCGAGTTTGTACTCCACCCATGGAGAAAAGGACAGCCCCTAGGAACGGGTCATCCGTTAGTAACCATTTCCATGGCAACTCCATTGTTAGCTTTATTAAAGAGAATGTTAATTGAGCTTCTTGACAAGGGTACATATCAGTTTAAGGACACGAGACTGATGACCTCTTTGATGCTAATACATACCGTAATGTGCTCTGCGCCCATGACTGGTCAGCTGAATAGCCTTGCACAACAGGTGAGAGCATAAAAGCACAGTGATAATGATGATGATGATGATGATGATGTTCTTGATGATGATGATAATGATGTTGATGATGATGATGATGGCGATGATGATGATGACGATGATGATGATGGTGATGATATGTTGATAATGATGACGATGATTAGAAAGGATACCACGAGCCACTGTTTAACATATGTTTGATGCAACATTTTTTGTTTGAGAGGGGCTTCAAAGAAAACTCTTGAGTTCATCGATAAATACTTGTATTTATTGTCTTTCTATTCATGTCGTTGAAAAAATAATGTCTGTATTTTTCCTTCTCAGATTCAGAGTGACATTGTTGCGATCTTCATGACATTCACGCGTCCAATCGTCCAGTCATCAGATCATGAAGAAGGTATTCAATACTAAGAAAACATCACCCATCACTTGATGGTCCCCTCACTTCATCCAACTCCATCCAACACGTTTAAGACTTTATCCAATAGCATTCAACATCATCGCTAAGAGACAACTAGATATTTTTACTTGTCATCGCTTGGCGACCACTTAAAGTCCAAATGTTGTATCGCCCCAATAATGTTGAATCGTGTTGGATTTCGTGTTTTAGTGAACCTTAAAGGAAATGTTACTGTTCAAAACATCACCAAAAATAACTGCATTAAATGCAATTTTCAATCGATGTTTTTTTTTTTACTTTAGCTATTAATGAGAGTATCTGGTCTCTAATGCTGAAAGAATTGTTCAAATACATTACTTCAACACCTCAGGTAACGAATTCCCTCATTCTTTGAAATTTTGTGGCGTTGTCTTGTGCGAGCTTGTTGTAAAAAAAAAGAAAAAGAAAGAAACGCAAGTTTGAGAAAACTTTTGAGCCTCAGTAATCGAAACCTTGACCATCTGGATACTAGTTGAATGCAATAACCTTTGAGTCAGACGTATTTTCCAACTTGTGTTTCTTGTCTTTTCACAGTTCTTAAAGCAAGAAAACTTATTTTGCTTTTCTTTTAGGCATTTCTAGGCGGACTTGTGTTGTTGTCTGAACTTCTGCCAGTTCCGCTTCCCATGCACACTTTGGAGGTTGGTAGAAACAAACACAATCTTGATGTTGATGATGATAATGTGATGATGATGATGATGATGATGATGATGGTGGTGATGATGATGATGATGATGATGATGATGATGATGTTGATGATGATGATGATGCATAATGATGATGATGATGATGATGATGATGATGATGATGATGATGATGATGATGTTGATGATGATGATGATGCATAATGATGATGATAATGATGATGATGATGATGATGATGATGATAATGATAGTAAAGTTTATTGATATGATATCATTAACGATGTGTTTATTTAGGAATTACAACAAGAGGGCATCAGTCAGGTCATGAACCAYCGTCTGCTTTGGAGTGCACATCTGAATCCGCTGAGYTCTGATCTACAGGGAATTYTAAAGTCGCTTTCTGGTTAGTATCCGCAYGTCCTGCAAGCACAGTAAMTCAGGGRAATTTCTCAGTCACGTTGAAAAATATTCCAAATCTCTTTGAAAAAATATCGTTGCTTTGATAAATATTGTTGCTTCGATAAACATTGTATTATCAAATTATTTATTTATTATTTAAAACAATTTAATTTATCGTCTAGTATCAGCTTGCCATAATCTTCAACAAGTCCTTCGTCGAGTTTGTTCTCAGTTGGCCGATCTTTCTGCACCAACTGCGTTTAATATCGTCAGGTAAGGATTTACAAATGAAATGTTTCTTTGCTTCATTTGTTATATTTTTTTCATGATTATTATTTTTTTCTTATTTGTTGTACTTTTGCTGTGTTTCTGCCGTATTTTCTTTATTTTGCCGAGTTTAGGCGTGTAGGCGTCGTGTCGTTATCGTGTTTCCTTCGTGTCGACGTCTTGTTGTTATCGTGTTTCCTTCGTGTTGTTATCGTGTCGACGTCGTGTTGTTATCGCGTTTTCTTCGTGTCGACGTCGTGTTATTGCTCCGTTTTCATCGTTTTTCCTTCCCTTTGTACTTCTAGAACTCTCCTTGAAGTCCTTGACAATGAGATGTCCAAACCATCTGAAGAAGATAAAAAGTAAGCTTTTAACTAAGTATCTTTGAAGATATACTCACCAAGACAGAGTTATCTCCACCAAAATATTAAAATTGTTKYTSACCACCTACAGGACCTGTACKGCTGATGCTATTCGAATCATGGCATTRCTTGCCTTCTTGTCATCCCAGCCAGCTGTGAAGATATCTCTATTGCAGCTATTGAAGATAAGGTACGAATTTTAATTTATTTCCTTCCTTTCTTTCATATTTTCACTGGGATTGTTATCTCTGTCTTCCAACTCTCTCGACAATATCCTCTCTGCTTCTTTAGTTTCTTATTTCATTCTTTCTTTCGTTTTGTACTCGTTTTTTCCTTTTCATCTATTCCGTCATTTCTTCTTTCCTACACTTGTCCTTCTTCAAAAGCTYTTAARTRTTTCTTGTTTTCYTTCCTATATCTCGTCCGTCATMCTTCCCTCCCTCTMTTTMCCATCCCTTTCCTTCAGAAATCWTTMAGSGTCACTTATAATCCTTTACTTTCATCCAAAGYCGWGCTGGTAAGAATGACGATGTRATGTTCCCYAACCTYCTTCCATCGATGTTAGCGATGTTGAGTGCTGAACCAGACGCCGTGACAGTCTCCCGTGCKCAGTATTGTGTAGTGGTAAGATTGAAACCCTTCACCGGGTCCTTACGAAAAATATTTTTTTTGATCAAAGTGTTTATTTCTTTTTAGTCAATCATCCAGTCTTTGTGCGACCCAAGTGTTAGTTTGACGTCGTTCGTGACTCCGTACACCAATCAACATGTAAGTAATCATTTCATAATGTCACGTGACGATGACGATGATATAAAGATTGGTTTTTGATGATTGATTGATTGATTGACAGTTRTAATGAGATAAATAGAGGATATTACATGGGCGCGCGGAGATTTTATTTTCGAGTGTTGAAAGAGACTTTCAACCCGAGGAGATAAAAATTCGTATCTCCAAGCGACCATGTGATATTCTGTTCATCATATAATTATATATGGAAGCAAATCATGTCGTAAAGTACCTTTTTACTTCTAATATATAGAGAAACCTCGAATGTGTTATTTTCACTCGTGAAAATAACATTTTCGAAAGAGAGAAATATAGGTATTTCATAAATCATTATATGATAATGATTATTATGATAATGGTGATGTTTGATTGGCAACAATAATTGTAATGATGGCAACAATGATGATGATGAAGATGACGATTGTTCGACAAAAGTGATGGTGATGATGATGTTCAGATTGTTGATTTAAACTAACTAATAAGATTGACRTACTAACAGAGGRTTTTCCTTCCTCACAGCTCGCCAACACCCTCCCTGACAGCGAGATGCTGTCAATCATATGCACTGCCTTACTGGATCACGTGGGCTCCACCAACCAATCATTTGCCACCATTTTATTAGCCTTGAGGTCAATGGTCACTTTGACAGCMCACAATTATGGCGTTTATCACCTGAAAAGGTAGAAAGTGTTCAATTTTCCCTCTAAATCCAACTGTAAGATGCCCATAGTAGCTTAACTGAGAAAGTTGTAGACAGTAGGAAGATTTGGTTTGAAAATTGTTAAACGAATGTGAAAACACGCGATTTTATCCCTCACTTTTTATACAGTTTCAGTTTGTTTTGCAATAAAAGTTTTCATCGTCTATTATACCTATACAATGCGGAAGGTGTTCAAACCTTTTCATTTTCTTGGACGTTTTCAAAACATCGTTGCAAAACGTCGTTGCAAAACATCGTTAGAGTTAACTTTGTGGGACATAAGGGATATTAATCCGCGTTTGCAACGCACCAAAAACCGTGAACCTGTTTGAATTCCCTGCTCGAAAAATTACTGCGCGCCTCCGTAGCCTTTCTGTATTGCCTTGCAACTTGCAGTAGTTCTTTGTTTATTGTAATATATTCTTTGGTATTTTTAATTCAGGTCTTTGGAGTCAAACACTGAAGTATTTCACCGACTYCTGAAACGACTGTCGTCTTCTTTCGAGTGAGTAGACGATACAACTTCATTATATTATAAACGACTACAATTAATCTTTGTCGCTGTTGACTTTCTCTCACTTCATTTATTTCGCCAGGACTGGTATTCCAGGACCCGATAGTCTCTCGACTCTTTCAACAACAACTGAAYTACTTCAGCTGCTTTTACCAGAGGAAGCAACCACAGAAGAAAGCCAACCTGTCGACAGCCAATCAGAGACAATKAAAACAGAGAACGACTCTGACGTCACAAAACCGGTCGACGAACCGGTTAAACAAGAAATTGTCGAGGATAAAACTGAGCCTGCGGTTAAAACTGAGCCTGTTGAGAGTCAGGTAAAAACTGAAGAAGAAACAGTGAAGACTGAACAACCTGTGGTCAGCAGTATTACTCTGAAGAAGGAAGAGCTGTTTGGCTTGACAGACGATGCCGAGTTGAARCCAACATCCGAGATATCGGTTTCTGTCGAACAGATGAAGATGTTCTTGAAAGCGGACAGCGAGGATGACTTCTCTTTGAGAGTGTTGGAAAAGCATCTCGAGGTGATTTGAATGGTTTCCTTACTTTCTGATCTACTTCCTTGTTAATGCTTCTTGCTGTTGTTGTTGTTGTTGTTGCTATTGTTGTTGTTGTTGCTGTTGTTGTTGTTGCTGTTGTTGTTGTTGTTGCTATTGTTGTTGTTATTGTTATTGTTGTTGTTGTTATTGTTGTCGTTGTTGTTGTTGTTGCTATTGTTGTTGTTATTGCTATTGTTGTTGTTGTTGTTATTGTTATTGTTGTTGTTGTTGTTGTTGTTGCTATTGTCGTTGTTATTGCTATTGTTGTTGTTATTGTTATTGTTGTTGTTATTGCTATTGTTGTTGTTATTGTTGTTGTTGTTGTTGTTGTTATTGTTGTTATTGTTTTTTTTTTCTTTGTTGTTGTTGTTGTTGGATTGTTTATTTTGCATATTCGCATGATTTTCTGCCGTGTTTCGTCGTGTATTTTTCGTTTACTTGCTCACTTGTAATACTTCTTTTCTTTCTCTTTGCTCCTTCACTTGTTTGGTAACTTTTTCACTCAATTTCATGATTGCTAGCTTTTTGTTTGGTTTATTTGTCGGCTTGTTTGCGTGCTTTGACCGTTCTTAACTGTGTATCTTCTCAATCTATTATTTAATAAGGTTTTCTTGCAATACGTTTCTATATTTTAAAGGAAAGCTGCAAGGAAGATGAAACCCTCGACACCCTSCTGGATGGCATTACAACTCTTAAGCAGATCCTGGAGAAGGGAGACGACACWGGACAAGATAATGGTCAGTATGCGATAGTTTGGGTGTCGTTAGGACATGATAGGGACGAAGAGAGGTAGACTAATGTTACAGTTGCACACCGGTCTATTTTTCGCCGAACGCAGCAACTTGCAAAGCCATTGCACAGCGTATCACTTCTCCAGCAAACTTTCAGACAACATTGTGACAGCATTTATAATCTTTTGTACATGATATTTTGCTTTAGAAGAAGACAAGGAGCCTGATCTTCCATCATCTCATCCCTTCCAACAATTGTTCAGTAACCGAGTAACATACATTGCTGATCCTGAGGAGGGTGGTGTGAGTCCAACGCTGTGGTTTTCTACACCTCCCCCCGACGATATCGACCCTGAAACTGATATGGTGAGTCAAATCAAACACTGCATCGTTCTATTCTCATGCGCTTAGTTGGGGAAACATTTGTATTTAAGATATTTCTTGAAATTCTTGCATTTTTRATCAAAAATTGTTTGTTTGTCAGGTTAACAGTGATTTGGATTCTTTGCGAACGAAATATTGCCCCGACTTTGATCTGGCTGCTGAACTAGAGAAAGGTGTTGTACCCTCCCCTCCCTCATCACCAATACGAAAAAAGAGCAGGTTAGTAAAATGGGAATAGATTTTTCCYTTCCTTCCTTCCCTCTCTTTCTTTTAATTCATTCTCCTTTTCCTTTATTACTAAAAGCATACATTATGGATCTTTTCTCCTTCTTTCACTTTCTCTCACATTCTCTTTTTGTCATTTCTTCATTTCCTTTTATTTCATTTTTCATGTCGACAGRGTTGTCAAGCGTAAGTTTGATCCTCTTATTCACGACGGGAACAAAGATGTGAAGCGATTYCGTGGAGGTAAGGAGRMATAGAAAGTTCATCAAATAGCATCCTTGRTATTGAATGTGACCTGGATTAAAATCCATGAAGTGCGTAGAAACACTATATCAATAACCAACTCGGAAACATTGTATAACGCGCGGATATGCATGTTCCTTAGTTCAGCCATGCAGGCCCCTTTTAAAGAATCACAACCAACCGCCGTTGGATTTCTTTAAGTGAGCGCAAATCGCCTTCCATCCTTTCAGTTTGGACAGAAATACCTAACTAAGTACCTCACAGGTACTATCAATCTATAATCTATTGTATGCTTGACGCATGTAAACGTAATCAATAACGCTAGCGCGCGCTGTATTGTGGTTGGTTGGGATTCTTTAAGAAAAGTTCCAGCATCTCCAATCTCTCTCCTCAGGATATGGCCGTGGTCGTGGAAGAGGTATGGGTCGAGGGCGTGGACGAGGAGCGAGTGATCTGTTTCGATCTCGYAAACAAAACACGAGTAGACCTCCTTCAATGCACGTCGATGATTTCATGGCAATGGAACAACAGCATAAAGGACAAGACAACATGCCTAATAGAAGAACCATGGAGGTATAGTAATAACGAAAATGTACGAAGAGTACCGAAATGATATCGGAAAGTTATCGGAGATTCACGAAAGCAAACCGAACTGATATCGGAAAGTTATCGGAGATTTAGGAAAGCAACCCGAGTTGATAACGAACGGACACAATACCGAAATGATATCGGAAAGTACTCGTATACTMACGTACGTACACACTTACACACGACAGATAACGTTTTAGCATTGTGTCTTGAAGGTCTTCGAGGCATGAGTCATAAAATTCACAYGAAGTGATGACTTTGTGTATCATTGGTTGTGTTTGCTTAGCCATAATTTTTATTYATTTATTTATAATGAGCTTTACAAAATATAACATTTTTATTTGTACACCAACTAGGGACCAATRACTAGCCGTTCGCCTATGGACCGTGGTGGCCCCAATTTTCAAGGCAGTCAAAATAGATGGGGTGGACTGTCCTCTGGTCCGTTTAGAAAAGGACCGGGTCCCCAAGGCATGGGTCGAGGGGGTGGTACTCCGGACTGGATCARCCAGCGTCAGTTTGGTGGATTTCCTGACCAACGTGGATTTCAACGAGGGTGAGTCGAATTTGTCATGTTCGTAATATTCTACTTTATCATGAGCAAATTTTGTATGAATGCTAAACAGAGACTGCTTCGGGGCCGAGAAGTCTTGTTGTAACCGCGGTATCGTTGCCGTAMATTGACGCTTTGATGTTCATGCGACATCTGATTTATTTACCAAATATTTATATATGACGATGATGATAGTGATGATATTGAAATATTGATGAAATGTGTTGACAAAACTTTCATTCATTTCCAGGCCGAATTGGAGCAATCCACAGCAATCGCAGTATAGAGGTCAGTGAACTTTCATTTGACGCACGCGCAAACAGCGCTCTTGACGACTATAAACTAATCGTATGTTGTAACGTGATTGTTTACTTGTTTCTATGGTAATCTAGGGGGAGGAATGCGTGACAATCAGTACAGTCGCCCACAGGGGCGTGGCTACTGGGAATCGCCGAGAACTACTAAAGACATCGATGGAAGGTATGAGTGATAGAATAGAACGCTTAAGCTTATTGGTTGGTAATTATATAACGCTCGTGTTGATTGGCTAAATATTACATTCAMGGTTACTTTATGTGCTCATGCTGATTGGTTTAATATAATAAAACGTTCACACTGATTGGCTGGATGAAATATTTGCATCTAACCTAACAGCTGATTGGCTAGAAAATAGCTAATGTACTAGAAGAAAGGGAAAAGAAAAAAAAGAAAATAACCTAGTAGAATGATGGCAATTATTTCGGCAAATATCATGTGGAATCAATATCACTAATGCACTGTTGGCGCACTTATGATTTAAAATCTGCCCTTCCCCACGAATTTCTATACGATATCATTACATCATCAGTTTAATCTACACTTCACTGGTTAATTGCCATCATTCTAACTATGATATTGTTGTCTAGATTTATGACGTCACCACACGTTGGTACCTATCGACCGGGCGCAGGGCGAGGCTACCAAGGACGGCATCTCAGATCTTTCACACGTTGAATWTATATTAWTTGCKACTYGCTGGTTAACATAAAAACTTTAGCTATAATGTACAGATTGTACTCTTGTAGAAAAGGCRTTTGAACAGCCAAAATAAAGGACGTTTGTCGTCCGATRCTTGCAAAGCAYTTGCAACGTGAACTTGTGGACGTTTCTTGAGGAAGAGAACAGAGTTTTATGGTTGTAAAGAGAAAAAGAGGTTGTTTSTTATACCGTCTGTCATGCATCATGCAAGACAAAGTGAAATCAGAATTTATTGTTTATTCGTAAATATTTCAAGACATGTACAAGATAAAGACCGAATACTTGAGTATTATTTCTGACGATGCTTACAAATTTACAGGACTAATTAAATCCGTAAAAATTCTATTACAAATTTGACTTGCGTTAATTAATACCTACATTTGATGTGCTTACAGTAACTACGATTCTTTCACGATAATTCCACGACTATCTCCGATGATTCAACGAAGATCACGCGATGACTTAACGCGCTTATCCCGATCAGTTCACGACCACTCTACGATCTTACTCCGATATACTACGATCTTACTCCGATAGARATCAATTTGCGCTTAAATAAATTCTTGATTGTTAGATTGCAGAGGTTATTTACATTCTGATTAAATGATGGATACTGACAGTGTAATGATTCGCAATAATTTACCTATGACAATTGATGAATTCTGCGTAGTACGATTACTGACACTGGTGAAAAACGCACTGCGCATGTCAACAGCTTTCCCGCTGAAACCTCCCTAATTTCCTTTGTAAAGCGATTTTTGTGAAAGTTTTTTACAATTTATAAGCTCGTTCACGGATATATAAGATTCATATTTCCATCAATCTTKGTTCATGACATGTTCTTTTAGTATGTAGTTTCTATTTTTATCTTGTTATTTCTATTTTGAGAAAATGAGGTTTTTCGTAGTGTTTTCTGTGTTGTCGCTGTAAATCGCCAGTCGCTCTGTTTACAGATTTCAAGACGCGAGCGCCCACTGGCGGGAAAGCTATGGGCATGCGCAGTGCCCAGTGTCACGAATACTACTGAATCTAATCTGTCCGGAAAAAGAGAAATGGACGTTGATATAGAGTTCGTAATGACAAGTTGGTCGTTATGTGAGGTGCTGTATAATGCATAAATGATTCGAATTTATTTTWAATTCTAATGTCCGTATTATCGAAGTGCTCATTATAAAGAGTGAGCCCCCCTGATTGATAAAATAGTCAAAGTTACGTCGATCTAGGCAGTGTTGTTGATTCAGCACCCAGCGAGGTATTCGTCGAGTAGTTGGAATCCACGTGATGTCTCCAGTAATCAAGCGACGTACGATTTAGACATGATTCATCACTGTTGGTCCGTAGAATGCTGGGACGGCCTGGGGCGAAATCATTGACTGGACTAGTACACAGGCTACGCGGTTTGGGTCTGGTTGTGCGGAGACTGGAGAGAAGTGCGTCTTGCGCATTTGTGGAACTTGAAGTGGAGTTTATCTGAAGAAAATATGATTGATTAGTAATGATGATGATTAGGTGATGATGGTGATGATACATATGGTGATAAAATATTAATGATGATATATTAGTCATTAATAATAATTATAGTCATCTTGATAACATCTGAGAAAATGAGAATTCGCGCGTTACTACAAAATTTTAAAAGTGCAGTAGTTTGTTTATTTTTATCGCGATTCTCAATCGCTCATTTCTATCTTATTCAGTTCTGTCGACGGCGCTGACTTTCTGAAAACCGATCTCCAAAAATTGAAACCATTTTAAACCTTTTAAAAATATTAACATCTTATTGCCATAGCGACACAGTGGTGTTCCAAACAAAAGTTTCAATTTTTCCTTATGATCGCAGATCACTGACCTTGTAAAACGTGACATGTKCGGTGTTTTACGAATTTGAAAATGCGACGAGGAAAATAAAAGACAATAAAAGGACGAGTGGAAAATGAAAAACAAAAAATGAAAAATGTAAACATCACTTTAGAAGCAAAGATTGTGTCAATAATGGGGCTCAAGTTATATGAATACAAAATACAAATTTCTCAGATGATCCTGAAAATTTCCGACACATCTGACATTTTTCGCCGCCGAGACGACGCACAACTTGATAGATAAGAATAACACGTCCATTTTAGACATTTTTCTCGCTATTGTGAAAATGAATTTATAGTCGTTCAGCTGGTTATTGAATGTGAAACGCTAATGGATTTTATATTGATTGAAAGAAAGCAAATTTTATAAAATGTCTCATTTTCATGAATAATTATGCTCGTTTCAAAAGAGGAGAGTAAATAATATTTTTTTTAATACCTGTTCAGCAAAGCTTGTTAGAGGCTCTTTTCGGACATACATGTACCTTTTGGARCAAGTACCGCAATATTTCTCYGCYAAATCATCCTCATATTTCAATCCTTTCAGCCAATCAAGGATTCCTCGTCGTTCTAGCTGTATCTTGCGATTCTCTTCTTCTYTTTGAATTTCCTTCGCTTTGAAAGCACTGTTTTCTCTAAGTAAATCATCTACCTTTGCTTTAAGGTCGTCGATTTGATTTTGAAGCGTGGATTCTTTGTACACCATGTGAACGCGTTGGGAGTCTAATCGTGATTCCAACTCTGTCTTAAAGTCACGCAATGTTGTGGTGAACTCTTTCTTCTGATCTTCCATGAGTTTCTTCAACTCGCTCAAGCAGTTGTGTTGTGTTATTTGGTTCATATTGACTTGTAGACCACAGCCTTTGGTGCATTTAGCTGTTTGAAAATCACAGATTATTAGATGTGTTTCCAGCTCGCAGCGATTTACATTCTCTTCACAACCTTTGTTAGGACAGGAGACTTTTGTAAACGCGCACTCTTCTTTCAAATGGTGCTTTAGATTACCAAGAGAGACTTGATTCTTGCATCCTTCTTGCTCGTTATCACACCGAATTTTAAGCGCATCAAGATCATTCTTCATGTATCTGAAAATCGGCTTTAAGTCGCTTGGCCAGAGGTTCTGGCGGTCTTCAGGGCAAGAATGGTAATGCGTTAACCAAGTATGAATGCAGGAAGAACAGAAAGTATGTTCACAAGGAGCAAGCAATGGCTCCTCCAAAACATCACGGCAAATGCAGCACAGTAGACCTTCGTTGACTTGGCCTGTGAATCGTTCTATGTCAAAACCCATTCTCCAATCTTGCTGACGGTATGACAAGTGACTCCTCTATTTGATTAGGTATCTTTTAAGTACTAAATCGAATAAATATTTCAAAGGATTTCGAGGCCAGATGATATTTCGTGGTATTTTTGTCACGCAAGTGGTAAATGCCACAGATGTTCTTCAACGAAGTAATAGCTTGGTTTATCGTGATTTAATCAGCTAGATTCTGATCTTATCAACTCTGTCCATTAAGTAGACGTCTCTATTGTCAAAGTMTGCCAAAACASCAGTTCTTTCAATTTTACTGCTGAAGTATTCGCTCTTCCGTCTTSAAGCTCCTKAAAAKTCCCAGTARATTCTTGCGCGAAGAGCTTAGTATCAAGAAGACGCCTCCTCGAGWTGATAGTTTAAATGAATTAATCTTTAAAACAGGTTAACCGTTAATGACTCTTTCGCCGTGCAGCGTGACGATTTCTTTTCTTCGACGCAGCGGGTTTTTCGCTTCAGACGCGATAAACTTCACTGCTTTTTCTCGCGTTTTGAAGCTCCAAGCAAGTCATCAAATGGTTGAACTATTGGACCTCCTGCTGYCTTMAACAACAACACTTTAACATCAAAACAACTCAATTTTAGCTATTTTTTCCTTCGGAAAACCTCCAAACTTTCTTAAAACAAGATAAAACTGTAAAATTAAGGCTAAAAATAATTCTCTGTTTTTCTCTACCGAAACTATTGATAAAAGAATGATGTACAGTGTTGATGCATTTATCAGCTTTGAACACACCTTTGTTCCTGACAGATTATCGCTCAAAGCTCAAAACAATTGCAGACAATTAAACTCAATAATGCTATAAAACCTTCGTATCCTTAATATACTATGCCTTTGTTATTAAAACTTGCTAAAACAGGAATGTTTTTTTGGGTGATAAACAAAGTGCTTAACAGTGTAGTAGTAACGGGATCAGTTTGGATTCTTCTGAAGGAGTTCAGAGGATTAGTCGAAAGTGTTGTCGTAACCTCGAAAAGATCCTTCAGCGCTATTTTTGACACTATATTAAGATTAAATCTCAACACATGCTCTACATTTATCAATTAATATTCAAACTATCTCTGAGATTTGAGGAATTTAGAGTCGGGAAAGTTTCTGATTTACCATCTGCAAACAATTTTTTTATAAACATCTCATATATTACAGCATTTATTTATCAATCCTTAAACATTCCTTGTATATATTCCGTCAAAGACCTCCCCTTAACATGCCTTAATGTACAATCTTATCAGGGCCAGCTATTTTAAGAACTTARATCCCTTGGGACRATTGTTTTTGTTGAACTTCCTATGATATTTACGCATATATATTGRAAATGACGTCAGTGGCACCGGAACGTCGATTACTAATAGGTCTCCATACTGTCCAATTAAAAAATAATTGCACGTGGAAAATTGCTAGGACTGCCAAAATTGGACGAGGACGTAAGAGGTAGAGTCCTATTACCTATTAATTATATATCCACAGGTATTAATAAGTGGATATAGCTTATAATCCACAATTAATGAATGCTACTTCATTTAACGTGGTCGAGCTCTCAGCTCAAMATTCACACCTATTTAAACTGTAATATTGGCTGTTAATCAAACTCTTTATTTTGTTGAGAAATACAATATAAGGTGTGGTGAAAGAAATACAATTCTTTTTTATTTTTATTTTTTGTAATTTTTGGTAAAGCAGTAAATGTGATTCCAACCATTTTAGTGGAAAGAAATTAATGACAAGACATTGRCACAATGTAACTGAAAGGCTTTCTTTCTGGTTGGTGGGGATTGTCTGGCTCAGCYTTTCCGTCTCTCATGTGAGTCAAGGAAAACCTGTTGCCAATCATTTGCTTTTTGGAGCGAACGCACTTAAGAACGGAAACATGAACTACAACAGCAACAGTTAGACATCTTGCAAATATTACAAACATTTTATTGAATAACATTACATAAAATGATAAAATTTATYTCTAAATCCATAAATAGATATTATACACTAATATAATTGCACGACATTTAGCTTTAGAAAAACTGTCATTTTTTTTCCATCTTCTTCATCATCCAGAGCAACGAGCAACAATGTTTTAATCATCTCCRGAGTKGTCATCATCATCATTCATGATCATCGTCATCATCATACACAAYTGTTTCACACACTTAAAATTCATTGAAGCAAATTCGGAAGTAATTAAATGAAGGCGATTCAGAACAGTTCCCTGATACATCTTGAAAGGTAACCATGCTTTTAAATCAAAGAGAGACAATTGGTGGCCCAGTCCCAGACTCTTTTTAGTCAGCTACACGGAACATTTCAACCAATTTAGGGACTTTAAAAGGGTCTGGGACTGAACTAATGCTGTCGAGCTTAGATACCAKCTCCCTTTGCAAGAAAAAGGCTATCTATCACTGTAAGTTCATTGCTTTCTTGGTGCAATGCCAWGCCATTGCTCAGTGAGCTATGAAGATTTTAGGCCTTGCAAATTTCAATATGTCTGTAGAATTGTCACTTGTCCCTTTTGTTGGTATTTTCTGGAGAAGGTTTTTCCAGTTTCTGTGCTTTTGATAATAAATTATGAAGCATGTTCTGCAAATCTGGAAGCTGTTGAAAAAAAATACAATAGACCACCGGTTATATCATAACTGACCAGTATCTACTGTTGTATAATAAATTGTACATCGTATAGTATTTTCTGTATTTTAAGAGGCTTGATCTTCTTCAAAATTGTCAAATCGTACAGCACGATGTAGGGGAAGAATTGAAAATTAATAATTGGCAAGACAAAGAATTATCTAGCAAACCATAGTAAATATATGAGCAAACTAACCTCGTACGTCTGGGCCAAGTAGATTCCAAACACATTTCCTGTCACCAAACCAACCTATAAAAAAATATAATTTTATCAATTGATATTGAATATTTCTCATAAAAGAAATACATCAAAAATGTACTGTACTTACAGCTAATGAAATAAGGCTTGTAGAAGACGACATTTTTACCATAAAACGTAATAAAAACACGGAAGAAACTAAACTCTAAGGTCAACTCTGTTTACAGCTTTGGCCGCTTTGGCCTGGGTCCCGCTTTGATTATTGAAAGATGTTTGGGGGGAGGGGAGAGTACAAATAYTTCATCTAATTTAGTTTTCTTACGAATTGTATATATATTGAGAAAAATGGTTTTGGTTCATATTGAACAACAGAATGTTTCTCTATTGAGTTTTTGTAATAAATAAGCTAAAGGAAGTATTCAGAAATTCAGTAAATCTTTCTCGTGCTTTATGCCTCCCCTCCCTGAAATATTTTTTGTAAGTATAATCGTACAGCGGTTTTCKCCATTACTATCCAATATGGCGGCCATGAGAGCATCTTKCAGATTTTTATTCCWAAGAAGCTGGAGTTGTTTGAGTAATTCTACGAAGAATAACACTATAAAAACAAGCAATCTACATAGGAGTTTATGTTCCACARGTAAGTGTTAAAACAGCTACCATGAATCAAGCGAAATCCAGGCAAAATTGATAATAATTTGTAATAATAATTTGATCACATTCTATCGTTTTCTTGAAAAACAGCTGTTAGATATGATGAAGTTCGAACTCTCTTCTCTTTTTATTTATTAGTTGAACAAAGGCCATTGGATAGCCATGATGAAAGCTTACAAGTGGCAGATGAAGTGCCAGATACTAGGAAAGAATTTCGTAAATTCAGATCGAGAATCTACAGACAAAATAGAATGAATCCCGAAATGGAGCGTCAAGCCAGGAAGGGAGAATGTACACGTCAATCAAATACTGTGATGTAGTTTATATATCTCATCATCAATATAATGAATTAACTTATTGTCATCTTTTTGTGGTCTTCTGCAGTGAAAATTGATCTTGSTGAAGTCAACAAAGYCTGGATGGCAAGAGAAGGATTTCAACACATCTGCAAAATTGCAAAACATTATCAAATATTTTCGCATGTTTTTGGTGACATGGAGTTCAYACCAAMTAGATTKTTAGATATCAGTTATGGCAAGGATAACTGCCATGTGCATTGGGGAAATTTTATCACGCCATCACAGGTAGAGAATGNGTCATCTACTCAATCCTTTTGTTCTTCCATCTTTTGAATCAAAATTTCTCTGATGTGGGATAATTCCAAAACAAATATTTTCCCTTAATTGTTTTTAATAGATAAAAATGAGTCATATATTTGTATTGCTTGAAGTTTTGAAATAAGACCTCTTTCATGCAAGTAGCACTTTAATCTGGCTGGCAAAGCAAAAATTGTTTTTCTCTGTTAGGAACTACAGTATAGTCCATTGCTTTTCCACAGGATTCTCACTATGTACTGCCATGGGGTCTTTGTTTTCTTTTTACCTTTGATACCTTGTGTGTTGTGACAGTGTTCAATTGATGAATCTTCAAATGTTTATGACTTTTTTAAAACAAAGTTTAATCAAAATTTTTTTTTGTCTAATTTCAGGCAGTTTCAGCACCAAATGTAAACTTTGAAGGCGATTCTGACATGTGGTCTTTGATTCTCATTAATCCAGGTGAATAACGATTGTTTTTATGTGTGACCATCCTTTCGTCATTTGTTACTAGTACTGTACTCTTTATATCTTTAATTAACTTTTCATCATCTAAATGCACTGTATCAAGCTCTGCCATTTGTCTTTTGTTATGTTACTGAACTCCTTCCTTTTAGATGAAGTAAAAAAGCGTAGAGGCAAGATTGCTTTGACTCTAAATTTCGTGTCTTATACACTCATCATCAGACAGTATGATTAATGAAAAACATTCCTAAAAAATAAAAAAGTACTGTTTGACGAGTTTGTAAGCATGAAACTGTAGAGTCACAGCAAAATTTTGCTTCAGATAACTTCATTGAGCACTGTTTAATGGCACTAGCTCCTTTCTCATATGATCAACTTTCCTTGTATACAAGTACATGTACTAATTGTTCAGTTTGCTATCATGTGTATGTATACAAGTACTAATTGTTCAGTTTGCTATCTTGTGTAGATGGAAATGTTTGGCATGATGATGCTGAGCTTCTTCATTGGTTTATGTAAGTAATTTATTATTGTAAAATGTTATTGTACATGTACATAGGATTCATGTTAAAATACTAAAGTATGCTCCTACATTGATTTATTAGTTACTGAGCTTTTGGACAGCTTGTCCATCATCAGGGCAAAATGAAATTATAAATTGTAAGTTGTCTGAAAGCTCTGTAACTAATAAATCAGCTTAGAGTAAGCACACCTTAGTATTTTATTATTATTACTAAGATTATGTTGTGATATTTATTATAAAGTATTTAAAGCATAATCCTGGAAAAATATTGATTGTCATTACAAGAAGTTAGAAAATGTTATCTATAGATAGATGAAGATCCTTGCATTTATTTTATTTCTTTTGAGTAATTTGTCAATTTTTTTCCACAACACTCTTGCTTTTATGAATATCTACTTTTTTGAACTGCTTGGTTGTTGTCCCAATGTAATTAAACTATACATGTGTTTTTCACTACAGAGCTAACATACCTGGTAATGACATACAMCAAGGCACAGAACTAGCTACCTACCTACCTCTTATCCCACAAAAAGGCACAGGTTACCACAGATATGTTTTCTGTTTACTACACCAGAAAGGACATTTAAATACTGATCAAATTACTTTAGATNCGCACAAGAGACTGTTTATAAGCAGCGGTTGCTCAGTTTGAACGCGAAAATGAGTATTGGTTTTGTCACTCTTTTTTGCTAAAATTTTTTATGCTATTTATGTTTTAGTTTTAGTTCTCAGCGAAGCTTCAAAATGACTGAACTGCTTGCGAGTCACAAGGATTTCTTCACACCAGTTGGTCTGAGTTTCTTCCAAGCTTCTTGGGATGAGACAGTTATTGATACATATCAAGATATTTTAGGTAAGCAAGGACAGTTACAACACCCAGATAACTTGATATTTGACAAACATCTATGAGCAGCTGTGAAGATTATGGAACATATAACACATGGTATTGTCCTGGAACCTACAGTAGAAAAAATGACGACAACAGCATGATACTTTGGTGCTGTGGACAGCTGAAATGTTGCTGTTATTTTTTGTCAGTTCAGTGTTTTTATGGCCATATAAATTTGGGCATTAGGGCCCCCTACTTTGCCATGTGTTGTCTGTGCTGTCATCAATGCCTTTGTTTGGTTATCTGAAATCAGCTATAAGTAAACTTAAAGCGCCTTCAATAGCAGTCTGTCCAAGTCCCTCACTAACTATGATGCAATCCAGATCATTGGTCTGCGAAATCTGGAAAGTCAGCCACATTTATCTATCTTTATTCTTTAATTTAAAAACACAAATGCATGATTTTAGGAATACAAGAGCCTGTTTACGACGTCAAACCATTTGTTACTCCAACAAAGCATAGAAAACGAAGCACACAAGATACATTCAACCAAAAGTACAGAAACATGTAAAGAATCTTTGATTGTAAAAGTTGAGGTAAAATAAAAGTCATTTTATATTGTGAATGTTGTGGTCTTTTTGTTTTATTTGTTGTTTTTTTTCATTAGCTTTTCCCCTTTGTGTCCAAAAGTTATTTTTAGATGGCATTGCTTTATCTCATTGGGCTTCCTGTTTAAAATCAAAGACTGGTGAGGACTGGAACTGAACCAGAACCTTTACCGTCCTAGCCTCCTTTGCAGACGTTATTAGACATATGGCCGATACTAATATCGTCTGCAAAGGAGGCTATTCCCTCCCCCTATCGGTAAGCTTTTTGTGTCATCATGGAGGCCCAAAGTTAGCATTTGTTCATCCAGCGTTTACTCGTAATTTTGAAAATAAACCGGATGTACGCAGGCTAGCCGAAAGTTTAAATGACGTCTTTCCACCGTTTTAATATTTTCCTGCATTGAAAACAACGGGCTCATGAGATCGAAATGGCTCATGGGAAGTATGGTAACGCAATTTCCCATGTAGCTTTTCGATCTCAACTAGATGTTTACGATTTTAAACCTGACAACTTCTATTCAATTGGCTGTATATAGCTATTTTCAAATCGCGGATCATCGCCAAATGAGTGATCTATTTTTAAAAAAACTTGGAATTTTTAGATTACGAAGAAATAACTCGTGATAGTTTTAGCGTCGGTTTTTCNAAATGTAGTTCATTATATAAGCCACATACATTTTCATATACTGTAACTCTGTCCACAATAAGCCTTTTTCCAGTTCAATGCAAGTGACCACTGTTTTGTAGACAACATTACAATAGCTCTAGAAATTTGAATCTTCTCCGATTTGAGTCTTAGTCTGAGCAAGAGTTTGAACCTTCTGGGAATACAGAATTGGAGAAAATGCAAGTTTATAGGGCTATTGTAATAACCAAATTTTTTTCGTGCTTTTATTTTTGGTAAGGTCTTTTATGCGCATGAGAGACTGTTGTCAACTAAAGCAGCGGTTGCTCACTTTGAATGCGAAAAATGTGTATTGGTTTTGTCACTCTTTTTGGCTAAAATTTGCTATGCTATTTATGTTTTAGTTTTAGTTCTCAGCGAAGCTTCAAAATGACTGAACTGCTTGCGAGTCACAAGGATTTCTTCACACCAGTTGGGCTGAGTTTCTTCCAAGCTTCTTGGGATGAGACAGTTACTGATACATATCAAGATATTTTAGGTAAGCAAGGACTGTTACAACATCAAGACAACTTGATATTTGACAAGCATCTATGAGCAGCTGTGAAGATTATGGAGCATTCAACACATGGTACTCTGGAACCTACAGTAGAAAAAAAGACGACAACAGCATGACACTTTGGTGCTGTGGACAGCTGAAATGTTGCTGTTATTTTTTGTCAGTTCAGTGTTTTTATGGCCATATAACTTTGGACATTAGGGCCCCCTACTTTGCCATGTGTTGTCTGTGCTTCGTCAATGCCTTTGTTTTGTTATCTGAAATCAGCTTTAAGTAAACTGCACGGCTGCTTAAAGCACCTTCAATAGCAGTCTGTCCAAGTCTCTCACTATAACTATTAATCCAGATGCAATTCAGATCATTGGTCTGGGAAATCTGGAAAGCCAGCCACACCTATCTATCTTTATTCTTTAATTTAACAACACAAAATACATGATTTTAGGAATACAAGAGCCAGTTTACGACGTCAAACCATTTGTTACTCCAACAAAGCAGAGAAAACGAAGCACACAAGATAAATTCAACCAAAAGTACAGAAACATGTAAAGAATCTTTGATTGTAAAAGTTGAGGTAAAATAAAAGTCATTTTACATTGTGAATGTTGTGGTCTTTTTGTTTGTTTGTTTGTTTTTTTTTGTTTTTTTTTTTTCATTAGCTTTTCCTCTTTGTGTCCAAAAGGTATTTTTAGATGGCATTGCTTTATCTCATTGGGCTCCCTGTTTAAAATCAAAGAGGTGAGGACTGGAACTGAACCAGAACCTTTACCGTCCTAGCCTCCTTTGCAGACGTTATTAGACGTATGGCCGATACTAATATCGTCTGCAAAGGAGGCTATTCCCTCCCCCTATCGGTCAGCTTTTTGTGTCATCATGGAGGCCCAAAGTTAGCATTTGTTCATCCAGCGTTTACTCGTAATTTTGAAAATAAACCGGATGTACGCAGGCTAGCCGAAAGTTTAAATGACGTCTTTCCACCGTTTTAATATTTTCCTGCATTGAAAACAACGGGCTCATGAGATCGAAATGGCTCATGGGAAGTATGGTAACGCAATTTCCCATGTAGCTTTTCGATCTCAACTAGATGTTTACGATTTTAAACCTGACAACTTCTATTCAATTGGCTGTATATAGCTATTTTCAWATCGCGGATCATCGCCAAATGAGTGATCTATTTTTAAAAAAACTTGGAATTTTTAGATTACGAAGAAATAACTCGTGATAGTTTTAGCGTCGGTTTTTCYAATGAAAACATTGCGATAAAAAATAAATGATACACCAAAAAGCGATACACTTAAAAATTACCAACGTTTYGGACTGTTCTACATCGAAGTTAACCACCTCAAATATTATCTTCCCATGTTTCGACTTCAATTCATTGATTTAGTATAGCTTTAATAATCACGACGAGAAAATTKGTGTTGTTTGGGTTACGTCGCTCTCTCTGATGAAAAAATTGTCATAAAAATTAAAATATAAAAGTGTAACATGGTTCAATGATCCTGTCAAGAAAACAGTATAAAAAATAGTATTTCAGTTCGTTTAACAGTGCAAAAAMGATCATTTAACCCATTTATAWYATTGTTTGAARTTATTTGWTCTATATCTATGAGCATTTTATCGRGCAATGTCCAAACTTTTCAAAAAGTTGTTCATGCTTTTMTTTMATTCTTTGTTGACTGACGGCTTTTGTTTGAGTTCAAGCACCTTCTTCATTTCTTTGTTGGGAATGTCCTGAAAAGTCGTGCTGTTTATTTATCTATTTAATACCAAAAATATAATGCGTTTCATTGGAAATGTTTATTCCCAAAAGAATGTTAGYAATATTTGATTATTATTTGAAGTCGTTGACGCCTAGAAACTAATTTATTTACATCTAAATGCTCGGGGAGTGTTAACAGAGCTTAAGTGACTGTCATTTTGCATATATTTGATACGGGTTCTTGATCCTTGTCGCGCAGAAATGTRCGGGAATGTCAACTAAACTTATAATCTAAACAATATTAAAATGGAAAATTAACGGAATACTTTACAAGTGTTTAATTCATTTCTTTGCGTTGTAATCAAGCTTTTATTGATAGAAGCCTTTTCTTTTTAGAAGAATTCGTCATAAATGTTTTTGCATAAATTCCATACTCCGTAGAACATCACCATGAGTGTTTTTAGGTTTTGAAGGATTGTAGTTCCATTCGCGAACTACTTCGTGAAATTCTTTTTTTAAAGAAAAGAAGAGGTATTCTTATTGATATTTTCCGTGAAAATTCCTAAAAAAGTATTTACCTTACTAAGAGASGTTTCTGAAAATCGTCGAAGAGTGACGATGCTAATGAGGAACTGCGACCCATTCATGTGTATTGGAGCATTATTTCTATTGTGAAATTGGCCTTCCTATTGACAAGAAAACATCCCCACTAGCACACAACAAGTTTTAACTTTGAAAGCATCTTAAAAACCACCATAAATCGCCCAAGAAGTGGAAATATCTTAGGAAAGYACTTGATTCTGTTATCTTTCGCACCATCGGGCCTTAAATAATCCAGATAGAGTTGCCAGAAGGATGAATATTATATGGATCTTGTCTTGCTTGGTTGTGTGTCCAATGGTAGGCGCATTGCAAAGCAAACACTTCAAACAACTCGAATACGACCTCATTAAAAAAGCAATCCAGCGACAGTGTGAACAAGAAACACCAAACTGTAACGAGTGCCTCGATAACAGCCTTTGTGCGTGGTGTTTAGGCGCACTTGGTGCCAAATGCGCATCACGAGTACAGTGCCCTAGAGAGTCCTCTTTGAGCAAGTGCGACGMGGTTAAGCCRGTTTTGGACTCTCGAACACAAGATATAGATGMTTTTCTTAGCAAATTAGACAGTCCWTCTTYGAAGTCGGGCTGTAGCGCGAGAGGGAATTGCTCTTTCTGCACGAGTTCATCTTCTTGTTCGTGGTGTGAGAAGACGAAAAGTTGCTTTACCTTCGACGGTTCCTCAAACGCCACGAGTCAGTGTGGAAGTACTCTTTGGTACAGGAATCAATGCGTTTATAGTTGTAAGTAGAAAATAATAAATAATGAACAAAATATTTGAATATTTTTTCCAAATAGTTGTAATTGACGCCACAACATTATTCATTTCGTGTCCCAAATTTAAATTTATTCAAATTTTGCGTCTATAAATTTTTTGTAAGCAATATCTTTTTCAGCTGGACGATATTACAAGATAATGATAATAAGCTTGACTTAGTCTGTCAGCCGAAACCGCTTTACCTTCTGCTTCAGTGCGCTAGTGACAAACTAAGAGACTATGAGCTTAAGACGTTAACACTCTCGCTATGCATCTTGATTCTCAAGACTTGATTTCACCATCTGCACGAATTATATTAGCTTGGGAAAATCAAATCCCTTGGTTTCAGTGGTTTCAGGTTATTTACAGCCATATATGCACCTAAATTCCTAAATTCTTTGTTTTCCAAATTTGAAATTAAAATTACTTTTTTCAATTCGAGACAGCTAAAGAAACGAAAGTTGTATTTCAAAAAACCCTTTTATTTAAATAAGTTTTAAACTACCAAACAGGATTCTGATATAGTTTAGGTAACCACTACTACCACMCTTAATTAAACTAAGGCTTTCTAATTCTTGTTATTCTTTGAATTATCCAGCAACCATCAAACCGTGTCCACAACGAACCGGGGGATGCAAGGAATGCACGCAAGACAGCCTCTGCTTCTGGTGCAAGTCATCTGGCAATTGTTCATATTATCCCTACGATGCTTACGTCCCCCCGGATTGTCCCTCTGGGGATTTGTACTATAAGCAATGTGACCATATGAGTTTCTGGGTGGTATTGTCTCCAATCTTGGCCATTATYCTCGCTCCTATWCTCATCTTCATCATACTGGCCATTKTTCTGTGGTGTRTGAGAAAAGTTTGCAAAAATGTCGATGAGGCGGATGAAGAAGACGAGTCRTCTGACGAAAACCCGGCTCCCGAGAAGAAGAACAAGAAAGAAAAGATGTTAATGAGCCACAAACCCGAACCGAGCCGAGTCGAGGAATTAAGAAAGAAATACAAGCTAGGAAATTGAYATCTTAAATATCATAATGTTGTGCGCACGAATGGATAATTTTCTTTTGATTAAATTCCCAAATACTTTCGTTGACCAAAGAGCGCCCTTCTACAAGCTTTGGTAACGGTATTTTCTTATCAAAGACGATAAAGAAGACCCGTGATAAATGCATAATATTCTACTATAATTGGAAACGGGTCAATGATTTTTTTTCGTTGAATCTATTTATATAAATCCTTTAGAGAATTTTTGTTTATGTTAACCGTACACGATAAAATAATACGAATCGATGTCGATTTTCAACGACAACTTTCGGTCCTTCGCGTTAATTTGCGTAGCTTCGAGTAAACGAGCAAAATTTAATGTGTTGTTTAAAAAATTTAATGTGATGTTTAATGGAATTGAGAGTGTTATAGGAAACGGTCTATTTTTGATCAATAAAGCTCACTTAATGTCACCAAATAGTTTTTTCTTCTTTTTTTCTCTTTCCTCTCCGCGAGACACGTGCATACATCAACCTTCTTTCCATTCTTTCATTCTTATTTCTCTCCCTTTATCCCTTTCTTCCGCAGTTCGCTCTTTATTCTTATTCATTAAACTATATTTTTAAAAAGGAGCCCCTTTCTTCCTTACTTTCTTGCTCTCCTGCTTGCTTACTTCATTGCTTCCTTCCTCCATCCATCCCTCGCT